GCTTAATTACAAAACAAACAAACAGTTCTACCCGGTTTTTGATTGTTACTAGTTTGCCAAAGATTCATCTTGAGAGACGGAAGACTGATGATGTAGAAGCAAGCATCCCATTGTTTGTTCAAGTACACACTGTATTAAGTTTCCCAGACTTGTCAACCTTTTAATTTTTCACACAAGATTAAATCTCAGTCAAGTTTTCAGATTAAGATTACTCCCAAATTTTCTGGTTGATCCTGCTGTTATTAAACAGCCCTATCTAGTACTTGTGCAGAAACCAGTTTTACCTGAAAATACCACAGAACTTTAAGTTTCAGTTTATAGAATATGGCTTGACCCACTGTTATAAAGCACCACAGTGTTTGTGTGGAGAATAATTTTACAGCACGTTATCCACTAGGTTACGCCTTCTTAGCAGGTATTCAAATTTTACGAATTTGGGCACTCAGAAGTAGACAATTTTTCTTCACTCGATCCTTACGGTAAGCATAGCGCTTTGCACTTGAAACAAAAACAAATAAATTAAATATCCCCAATTCGTTTGTTCGTTTTAGAGCAAAGCCACATTGGGCTATCCACGCGGAATCAAACCCCGGAGTTTAGTGTTGTAAGCCCGTAAACTTACTGCTGTCCCACTGAAAGACAATATCTCTAATAGATAATTGTAAGTAATTCAAGTAGAAAACTGTGGATACAATATATGTGCAAATATTTCTATAGTTACAGCAGATTATGTTAAAAAAAAACAACTGAAACTACTCATGTCTTATGGGTCAGCGGCAAGTTTGGGGCTTGTAAACTTAAAATCCGGGATTCGAATTCTCGCGTAGGACAGGACGCATATAGTCCATTGAGTAGTCGTGAGCTGAAGGAAGAGTTCAACTTAACTAATATATGCATACATAGAAACTTAGTGTCCTTATGCGCCTCTTTATGTCACTTATCTTTAGAAATAAGATCTATAAATTTTATTCTATTAAAACAAGCAACGGAAATGTAATTCCAATACTGTTTTGTCACAGCTCTGCAGTTAAGACTATATCCTTGTTGATTACACGGTTATAATATTAGTTAACATTAGTCACAGTAAGAAATGTGTTTCGGATTGCTTGACATCAGCAGTATCTGAAGTACAGATACAAAACTGTTTATCTGTGCTCTGCCCACCACGGGTACCGAAACCCGGTTTCTAGCGTTGTAAGTCCGCAGACGTGCCGCTGAGCCACTGAGGGGCGATATAAAACTGAAATCCTGTCGAGAATTGAATGACATTGGAAAACATAGTGATCACGTAATGATTCTCAGTTATTGAACTTGTTTGTTAATTAGGGCTTGCAACCTGCGGGTTCGAATCCCATCACCAAACACGCTTGCACTTTCAGCCAGGAGGGCGTTATAATGTTACGGTCAATGGATTATAGTAGTCCAAAAGTTAGCTGTGGGTGGTGTTGACTAGCTGCCTTCCCTCTAGTCTATTGCTTCTAAATTGGAAACGGCTATCGCAGATAATCCTCGAGAAGCTTTTCGCAAAATTCAACAAAGAAACTAACCAAAATATGCATCAGAAAATTTTTTTAATACATTATTTATGTCTTATATTGATCTACACAAAATTTCCCCAAAGAAACTACGCTATAAATTAGTTTTCAAAAGTCGACTAAAACATTTAAGAAACGGGTGTCTTTTGTCGCAAACCGGCTATTAAAAACAAAATGAATATACAACTTACGCAGCTGGTAGCTTACAGTGTAAAATGAATGCATTGTCCAGTGCCTCACACAGTGTATAAAGAGTTTTCGTTTAAATCGAGGTTTACAATACAACATATGAAACATTTTTAGCCTTAGTTTTTTAATCGTTGAAACTAATAGTTTAGTCTTCGTTTATTACAGGTTTGTTTGTAGGCAAGCGCAAAGTTACACAATGGCCTAACTGTGCTCTGCCCACTACGATTGGCGAAACTCGATTCTCAGCGCCATAAAGCATTCAGATTTAATGCTCAGCCTTCGTAGGGAGTTTATTAAAGGAGATAAGTTGATAACATATCTTCTGCAAATTGAATTTTAAAAGTAATTTTTAATCATATCTGTGTTCGTCAGATAGCAGTTTCGACAGTAAATTCAACTCAAGGTAGAACTAATTTCAACTTAATAATTCATTATCGTTATTGGCACTTCCCATGTGAATTTGTGTGTGTTTTCGTGGTATTTGACGACTAGTACTGCTGTTCAACGAAAAGAGATTTTATGTAGTAAAAATTCCAGTCGCTCGTTGTGTGAGAATTATTATTAAAATTTAAATATATTAAAATTTCTGTCGAGTTGTGTTTATTTTCTACAATTATTAGGCCCTTTAGGCTAAAAACTCATGTCGAGTTTTTGTTTTTTATAATCTTTAGGAACTTCAGGTTAATTTTAAAATGTGGCATTAAGTGACTCGGACTGTCCTACCAAGAACACGTGTGTGTGTGTTTATGAGCTTTTATCGAAGACTCTATAGAAGAATGCAGTATAACATACCTTATAAATAAACAAATGAGGAAAAAATTAAAAATTTTACTTCAATTTTTTACTTTATATACCTCATTACATACATGGTCAATGGCGCCAATTGGAGGGAAGGTTGGCTGTTAGGACAGCCGCCTTACGCAAGCCCTTTTTTATATAGAAATGTAAAACGTCTGGTTAATGGGCTATGTTTATGGAAAATTACTAATATTATTATATAGGAAGTACAAGGTCGAAATCTCCATTTTTTATTATTTTGTTTTTGTTGTTCCTCATAACACTGTGGCACTTACGTATTTATTATAGTTGATGTATGAACTCCGAAACTCAGCACTGCCACCCCCCACCCCCACCATTGTACTTGTGGCGGACTCAAATCATCCAGTTTTTCGCACACATTTCACAGTACACTGCGATAATCTTTATCTCCATACGGAGCATTTATTGTTACTTAGAAACCTTACAGTTCACCAATCTATTGTCTTTAAAACAATTCTTTAAAATGTTAGTACACAGAAAAAGTTTGTTTTGAAGGGAATGTTTTAAAATATAGCAAATTAATAGAAATTCTCACTTCAAAGTCATAAACATTAAAATACTAACCTTTTAACTTCAGTGATATACCGTTTACATAAACTGGCCGTAAGTTTTCTTATGGTCCTCTTAGTATCTACATTGGGCCAGGTGTAAGTTAGTTATTAGTTAAACATAAATTGTTAATATCACCATATTAACTATTTTTCAAATATTTCTATCATATCTATTTACGAAAACTACCAAAAAAAAAGTTCATCATCAATTTGATTTATTTATTTTTACAAGAACTGTTAGATACAATATTCCAGAGGCAACAAATACAATACTTGTATATTAGTAATGTCTTTGGCTGTACAAATACTGAGCAAACTATACGAAAAAGTGTTTTATTTTCAATATTCTCAAAGGCTGATCTGTATTTTCTTTGCCAATTTTACTGAATGAGAGAATTTAAAAAAGCATAACTTACGCTTAATTTCAGCTCTAAGAAGGCGATAATGTCCCATAAAAAATTACAAAACATTTTAAAGCATAAATAACTAATTGAATAAAATCATAAACTAAATCCAATTTATCATTTTATCCAGTAAATATTCTTATTTATTCGTAAACTATCAGATATGTACGATTGCTAACAAGACAGAAGTCTCAAGGTTAAAGGAAAACTAACCACAAAAAATCTGAAACTGAAATGGTTTTTTTTTATGTCCCGGTATTATGTTTTTAAACTTTCATAAAGTTTATTTCTCTTCAGTATTTCATCTGTTCACGCGTAGCTCTAGAACTTTTGTGAAATAATAAGAATAAAATTGAATGCTCCTAAACACACACACACCAACTTTTTAAATAGTGCATTTTATACTTTTGCATCCGGAGTACTAAAGAAGTATAATTTTGTATTCCAATCAATTAATATTGATTGTTTTTCATTGATAGTTTTTGTGAAAACGTAA